ACCGCTCTTAACACCCTCCCAGCCCTCCTGGATGGTGATCTCACCACTTTTGACTAGGTCGTAGATATCGCGCGTCAGCTCCGTGAAGGCCCTCTCTACGTTTATGGCGTCGCGGGCCGAGGTCTCCACGTAGCGCATGCCGTAAGCGGCTGCCAGTTTCTCGGCCTCCTGCTGGCTCACCTGCCGCTGCTGCTCCAGGTCACACTTGTGGCCCACCAGTATGAAGACAATGCTGTGCCGCTGCACGTGACTGCACGCTTCCTCCAGCCACTCGTGGACATTCTGGAAAGAGCGGCGGTTGGTGATGTCGAAAAGCAAAAGGCCACCCACTGAATTACGATAATAAGCCCTTGTGATAGATCTAGATCACATACAGAGAAGAGCAGACGATATCAGACAGGTGGTTGAACATGTTGCATGTTACATCATATAAATTAACGGCTGTGGAGGAGCGGTATTTTATATTCAAAAGGATGACTTAATTTGTATTCAATTACATTAAACGAGCATGTAAATACTTGATGGGAATTTATGCTAATAGCCTATAAGAAAGCTATATGCAGAAAATTATCACAGCCTGAAATCCAGGAATTTAGTGAGCGGGTTGAAATAGTTTATGAAATCTATGTGATGTAGAGACTACTATGATGCTAATTTTTTTTTGTCCCATCTTTTAATTTATTTAATGCAATTCATATGTACAATGACACACTTCTTCTATCATTGGCATGTTTTTAATTTATTATTTATTATTAAATTTATCTTTATAATCTTCCACTGAGACCAGATCTAGATCTAAAATTTCTAATACGAAACTCTATTGAAAAATTAGGTTTAAATAAAGAAAAGTAGGCCTATTGAAAGTTTGAAGTCTAAAAATATCCAGATTGGGAACAAGATTGCATGTGAGGAAAATGTCAAAGTCTTTGTGTATATAGTTACAATAATGTGTAATAAGACGCATAAGCTTACATATGGATTTGGTACTAAGACAAAATACTTAACTGAGTAAATTCTAAACAGAAAGAAGAAAAACAGATTATCGGAGTGCATTTTACAAGATAATACTATTTAAGATATTCTACTTTAAAACTGATTTCATGTTTAATTCAGTGTGTTATTCACCATTTCTTTGTTATGATTTGTGAAATTTACTAGCAATTTCTGAGTGAAAACTGTTTCTACACCAATTTTTTAGTGTAATAAGTGCACAGTAATGTTTCTTCTGTCAATGTACTAAAATGTTTTATTTGTGTTTAATGTCTAAGATTGCATGTATTGTCCTCTTATAAGGAAATGTTTAAATCAAATCAATGAAACTTACTTATTAAAAACTAACATGTAAGGCCATTCCAACATTTGGGGTTTTTTAAATAAAAAAACGAAATCATAAATGTATCTTCCTTCTTAAGCACGATGAAGTCATTAAGCAGCTGTGTTAATGTGTGCCAATAGTGTTTAGTTAGCTTAAGTAGCAGCAGGGGAGGGATGTCCTCATTTTAGAGAGCATTTGATTGGTCAAAAAATCTGTCTGGTGCAGGATGAGGCATCAATGTTTTGGCTTGTTTTCCTGAAAGAGAAAGACTATACATTTGAAATGCATTTATCTGCCAAAAAATGAATTTTGCCAACGTTTAGGTGTACGCTAGCATATAGAAAGCCTCAAAGCTAACAATCACAGACTAAAAGCCACAAATCTCCTATACAGTTAGAGAATGCGTGTAGCTGTGATAGCTACATGTAAATGTCATCAAATGCCACTAGATGTACCTGAATCTTTCTTGGCCTGCCGTATCCCAGATCTGAAGCTTGATGCGTTTGCCTGGTTCAATCTCTACCAGACGGGAGAAGAAGTCTACGCCGACAGTAGGATCAGACACCTGTGCAAAACGTCCTTCTGTGAAGCGTCTGATCAAACAAGACTTCCCCACCGTCGAGTCGCCAATGACAATCAGCCGGAACTGGTACAGCCATATAGCTTCCATATCTTATATGATCTGTCAACGAATAACAGTGTTTTGTTATTAGATTACACAGTAATAAATGTTTTCTGAGTAAATAGTTGAATAGTTAAAAAAAACGTTATGTAAACATTTGCTTATCCTTGAATTTTCATTTTTGTATAGGCTATTATTCAACTCAAATACATTATTATTATTATTATTATGAAAGTCATTTTTAAGGATCAGATCATGTAGAATTGGAATAGACTATCAACTGAGCCTCGTTCTTTAAATGGACGACTATCATTCAAATAGGTGTTAGTATAATTACCTTAATCCATATATGATGCGAGACCCTTAATTTGTATGGCAGTCCAAATTATACATTTATACATTGGAATGATGTTGAAAATTGTTATAACTGTGATCAAATTGACAAAAATGTGTCAATAAAATCCTTTTTCAGTAGGCCCATGTGAATCTCAGAGCTTGTATCAGACCTGAATTTTTATGTTAAAATGTAATATAATTTATATGATTTCATAAACTGTTTAACACGACCTCTTTAGTATCCAAACGATAATGAATTTAGCATCTCTCGATTTACGATTTTCTAAAGTTAAGTTAGCTAAAGCATAGTAGATGCTTGCAGGCCTATGAGTCGAGCATCGCACTTGTGTAAAGAAATCGCTCTATGAACACATATTATTGTATATTTCGTGTAATTATTACCTTGGTAATGCTTCTCAGTGTCTGAGGATGGCAAGCCCCATATTCTTCGCTGTCTTTCAGTCAGAAAGCGTATAATACCGTGGCGTTCCCAGGCAAGGCATCCGAGCACACCCGAATGTTTCTGAGGATAAATGTGCAACTAGTTCCGCTTTGAATATGCACTAACTGACCAAACGAATTAACATACTCGACTGGGGCGTTTGCATTAAGACCTGTTAGTTTCAGAATGCCCATAAAGTCTTGGTAAATTCATATTGTCAATCTCGTGATTAGGGATAAAGAGATGTTTGTGAAAATGTGCTGATGAAATGGCAGTATCATGAGCATCATATAGCCTGACTCATCCCTCATCAGTACCATTACCGTAATAACTGATAGAGCGACGCACTGTTGGCGGCTCCCTCATTCAACACTTCCAGGAGGCGTTATACCGTATACTGTATGTTTATACTGGCAGCTACAGTTGAACCCGACCACTGATGCTTATCATTAGTGACTTTCAAATGGACTTTTTCAAAATAACGAATATGTGACCCTGGACCACAAAATCAGTCATAAGAATCCATTTTTATAGATCTGAAAGCTGAATAAACAAGCTTTTCATTTATGTATGCTTTGTTAGGATAGGACAATATTTGGACGAGATACAACTAGGCCTATTTGAATATCTGGAATCTGAGGGTGCAAAAAAAAATCAAAATATTGAGAAAATCGCCTTTAAGCTTGTCCAAATGAAGTTCTTAGCAATGCATATTACTAATAAACATTTTTTTTATATATAATATATTTACAGTAGGAAATGTACAACATATTTTCATGGAAAATGATCTTTACTTAATATCCTAATGATTTTTGGCATAAAATACAAATCAATAATTTTGACCCAGACAGTGTATTGTTGGATATTGCTACAAATATACCAGTGCGACTTATGGCTGGTTTTGTGCTCCAGGGTCACATATGCCAGCTCTCATCACTGGCCTTAATTTTGAGCATTTTAATTCAAATGATTATTTTTGTATTTAAACATCAAATAGAGTAAACTAAATAGCCTACAGAACAAATGCATAAACCATAATTTAAAATTGTATATAGACATTTATATAGACATTACGTATTACAATTGTTAAACACAAACACAATAAATTAAAGAAACACGCACTGAAACAAATAAATGAAGCAAATCATAACATAAATCAAATTAAACGTAATCAAAGATTCTTAGATTTAAATAAAATTGAAATAATTTTTAAATGCCACAAAACTCAGAGGAACTTTAACAAATCTCTATTTGTGTAAATAACATTAAATATAATCAAAATATTATTGTTAGACCAATCTGACAAATGTAAACACTCCCAAGTTGTGCATTGGGTACATTGAGAGGTGCTGCAAACTCCACTTTTGATGATATTAAATGATCTTATATTAGATGTTTATATCGTATAAAAGTACATTATCATTACTTCTGTTCCCACAAAGTTATCTAGGTATCTTTTTATCTCAAATGTTACAAATGTAACAAGCATTATCTTATAACAAATCAATCAGTCAGATGGGGCGTGGCTATGAGGCAACGTGTGTTAATGGGCGTGGCGTTCTTGGGTTCCATCATTCATCACTTCTGTACTTGATGAAGAAGCAGAGATCATCTGTGGCATTTACCATTTGTGTTCTTTGAAGAAAAGACTTTAAAATACATTTTATTCATGTTTTAATTTTTTTAAATACGTCCACTTTGTTTTCTTTCTCATGTGGAGCTAATGGGAAGGTAAAGCTAGTAAGGAGGACGAGCACAAAGTAACATGACAGCGGTTTGACCTAACTTTGAGCATTATATAAACATTTTAAGAGCGCGTGCCTCTCACAAACTGTAATCCTACAACAATGATCAATGAATAAGCTGTGAAACATAAGAGCACTCGTGCTACAAACTGTACAAAAAGTAGGTCAGTGCGTTTATGATCGGGGTGTGTATTTGCTATTTTTTTAAGTCGTCATGCAGAAAGAACATTTATTAAAAGTTCTAGTCATCGGAGACCTCGGAGTGGGAAAAACGTCGATAATCAAACGATACGTTCATCAGATATTTTCTCAACATTATCGCGCAACCATTGGAGTGGATTTTGCTCTTAAAGTCCTTCACTGGGACAGTCAGACGGTGGTCCGGCTGCAGTTATGGGACATAGCAGGTACGTTCTCCTATTAAAATGTTTAATATTTAATCTATATGTTAAACATATCCCGCTGGCTTTGTTTTATTTTACTTTACAAGATGCTGAATTCATATTATTTAGTGCTAGTCCAAAGGCGATTAAAGTAACAAGATATATTAGGCAACATTTGTATAGTGTTGGTGGTCCATATAATATGATAAATCATTGTAAGTACGCTATTGCCTCTCTGAAATCTCCTCCTGCTGAGTTTCCTTGTGTGAATGTGAAGGAATGTGTCTTGTGTGTTAATCTCAGCTGGTCTCATACTCGTGCTAAAGTCACATGAGAGTTTGAGGTAAAGTCCAAAAACACACACACACACACACACACAAACACTCACAGTGTAGATCAACACAGTGTTATAGTAGGATTTATTATTAAGAACAACATTAAAAACATGATGCTATTTATGTCCGAGTGATGTTTAACCTCCAATTTGCCATCCCACGTTCGTCATAGGACAGGAGCGCTATGGGAACATGACACGGGTTTACTATCGGGAGGCCGTGGGAGCCTTCATAGTATTTGACGTGACCAGAGCCTCCACGTTTGACGCAGTGCTGAAATGGAAAGACGACCTGGACTTAAAGGTCACTCTCAGCAACGGCAAACCTGTCCCAGCTGTGCTTCTGGCCAACAAGTCTGACCAGTCACGTGAAGGTCTGCGTTCCCAGATTCCAAAGCTTGATACATTCTGCAAAGAGAATGGATTTGTGGGCTGGTTTGAGACCTCTGCAAAGGTGAGGGGTTTATTTTGTGACCCTGAGCAGGATGTAGATGTAGAGATACAGAATCAGGATCTGTGTATGTGTATGTGTTTGTGTAGCTGTTTGCATGTTTGCATTTAACACAAATACAGCAAGAATGCATTGTGCTCATTAGCAGGAAGGCCATTGTTTACCATCTACAGCCCCACTTTAATGAGTTACACAGTTGTGTGTGAAAGGGTATAAAGTGGATCCTCAAATAAATGACATGACACCATACTGTCTGAAACATTTTAACTCTGGATCACCTTTATCACTTTATGACTGTGCTCTTTTTATATACTTTCTTTTTAACTTTTTAATACAATTTAAAATTCCACCAGGCAGTTTACAGCTGCCTCTATATATTTTGAACCATAATCTGGGGTAGAGTTGCATTAAATGTTACGCCATACAACTGTTGCATTCATCCTCGGGTAATTGTCACATGATCTGAGCTGTAGAGACAGTGCTTTCTTTACATGCAGACTGGGCAAAAAAATGTGCATGTTATAGTATGAGTGGCAAATCCAATTATGTATGCATTAGAATAATATTTGACATGCAATTGGGAATTATGTGTGTGATAAAATGATCATAAATGATATACAAGTGCATGTGTTCAAAAGTTTGGGGTCAATAACATTTTTTATAAGGTATCTAATACTTTTATTCAGCAAGAATGCGTTAAATTAATCAAAAGTGACAGTAAAGACATAATCTTTCTAAAAAATATATTTAAAATAAATGACGTTTTTTTTGTTGTTTTTTTATTAATCAAAGAATCCTGAAAAATGTATCATGGTTTCCACAAAAATATTAACCAGCTCATCTGTTTTCAGCATTGATACTCATAAGAAATGTTTCTTGAGCAACAAATCAGCCTCTAGAATGATTTGTAATATTAATATTAGAATGATGAATATTAGAACAGTTTCTGAAGGATCACGTGACACTGAAGACTAGAGTAATGATTCAGATGTGCCATCACAAGAACAAAATACATTTTTAAATGTATTAAAATAAAAAACTGTATTTCTGATCAAATAAATGTAACCTTGGTGAGCATAAGAGACATCAATGTTCATATTCTTGATGTTTAATGTTCAAAAACATTCAGAAATCTTACTAACCCCAAACTTTTCAACAGTGATGTATGTGGCTGTAATATAGGGCTTTGTGACCTTATTGTCTGAATGACTCCCATATTCTTTGTGTTTGATTTTACGCCCACTGAAGGAGAACACAAACATCGAGGCAGCAGCTAAATGTCTGGTGGATCACATTTTAGCCCATGAAGAGAACATCACCAGCAACACAGACCCAGATGTGGTGGCCCTCCCCGGGTACAACAACAACACAAAAGAACGGGTCCGAGCCAGATGCACGGCGTGTTCCAAATTTTGAATACAGGAGGATGAAAGTAAATATAAAATAAATATGTTGCAGTTTGTTATAGATTTAAGGGGACTCAGCCATTTAATGGTAATCCCAAAACAATGAGATTCATCTTCAAGACACAAGAAATGCAACAAAATGGCGGGGACTGTGAAGAAGGATTGTGCTGATTATATGTAGCGTGAAATCTCACATCATTAGATACACTGTGTTGGTGACACTTCAAGTTTCAAGGATTTCACTCATCAGTGTTCTGTTTACAGGTGAATGCTCTGCTATTTTAGCCAAGTACCAAGTATTTTATGACACAAGTCCAGGTCAATTATGCATTTCTTGCTGTTTTGTGTGCGGACTCTTTGAGCATGTAATATTTATTAAAAGTGACCTCTTATTCAGTTAGCCTATATAAGATTAAAAAACTATGATGTTGTGCACACAAAATGCCTTAATACTTGCACAGCTACAGTATCTAGGAATGTTATCCTGCAACCTCTAGCATTAACAAATAAAGCATACAGTATTTTCCCTCATGTAAGCTCTTGAATATGATATTGTAGCCCTGCGCAATTCAGGGTTGTGCAATGAAAAGAGGCAAGACGCACCATTAAAGACTCTGAAATGGCCGTCTGATGCATTTTTATGTATGTACAGAGGGGGTTTAAAGCAGTGCGGAAATTCCACCTTAAGGTGCCCACCCCAGATATTCTGACACAGGCCAATCGCCCCCCTCTCCAGTCACCTGATTCTCATACTGCCATTTTGCGCGGAGCGTCCGACTGTTAACTATAGGAAATTGGAATTGCTTCATCAAACGAGATGCTGAATTTTCACATTTAGGACCACTGCTGCAACTGTTCGACTGGGATAATATCCACATAATATTTCGTATTCTCAGAAGCGCATGCATTTATATAACGCGCGTAAGGCCGCTGAAGGAATTTGGAAAATGATGCTTGGTATCAAATTCC